TCGCCAGCCCTTCTGGAGGCCAAAGCGGGGGAGGTCGGCTATCAAGTGTCGTCCCCGGTCTGCAGTACCGTACTCAAGGTTCCTCGCAATCGTTCGAAGCATGTCGTCGGAGTCCACCAGAATTTCCTGAAAGATTCGACTGTAAGCGGTCTCGGGTTATAGGGTTTGGGTCTTCGACAAAATTTTGGAATCAACCACAGAATGAAACTAATGCTCAAAGGGTTGGCCTTTAGGCTTTAGGGGTCAGGGTTTTTAGTTTCGGCTTAAAAGCGTCGGCTATTTTAGGGATTAGGGTTTTCAGGGTTTGGGTTTGGGCCTTTTGGCTTTTAGTCACAGGCTTTAGGCACCTTGGTGAAGTTGTCGATGTCCTTGTTGTAGTCTTCCGCAGAGTACAATTCGTGGCCGATGTCGTCGAGTGTAATCGCCGGCACACTTTCAGGATTCACTTCTGCTTGGGAGATACGGCACAGGGGGCACGGGTGGTCAGCATGGTTCCAAAACCTACCCCCAATAATCTCCAAGTATGCTGGCCAGTCGCATTGGATGTCAAGAACACAACACTGATTTGAAGCTTGAAGTTCCTGTAGATCCTTCACCCAAGCATCCAGCAGCGGAAAGATGCTGCACCACCCACGGCAGCCACAGCGGCACATGTCTTCCGAACCTGAATACATCCAATATAAGGGGCTTAGGGTGTAAGGAGTTTAGAAGCTAGGTTAGGGCGGTTAGGGGACCAGAACCACACAACAGATGATGGCGAATCTTTTGCAAAGTAGCGAAGTAGAAAAGATACAAACTTCTGTCCAGACAAGATGTCGGTGATGTAGAACCCAGTGAAAGAACTGTGCACGGAGTACCGGACACCGTCCCAGTAGAGCCCAAGGGGCCTTACAAGGCTCTCTTGTCCAGCAGCACGGGCCCTGCGAACAACAGGATGGTTATCATAGCTCGGCAAACCTTGGACCATTTTGCGGAAATTCGGTTCATCCTTTGCTAGCACCTCGGGGCGGAATACGTACTTCTTCAAAAGGGTTGAGGGCAGCATCATCGCCGCTGGCTCCGACACTCTCCTGGATTGTCTCTTCTCGAAAAGAGGAACCTCGACATGATGCAAGTCTGGCTCGGGATACTCTTTCCCAGCGTGAAGCTGTATGTGCTCGTGCCCGTGGCGACCAGCTTGATCCGGATGCAATGCCCATGACGACACTCCAGTGGCCCCGGCCTCTGTAATATGATGACAAAGTTCAGCTACATCACTTCCTGGAAGAGACCCCATACAGAATCGGTCCAAGAGAAACATGCGAAGTCGTTTTCCAGCTTCAACCTGCGAACTTGTGGGGCCGGCATCAGCCCCATCTCCATGCAATTCTGCCACTGCTCGCTTTCGCATGGCACCAAGCAGCTACAAATTTCTTGACTAGGACTAGGCCTGCCACTTAGGGGTTTAGGGGTTTAGGGTTTAGGGCTTCGGGCTTAGGGTTTAGGGTCTAGGGGTTTCTATGCCGAGTTGGGTTTAGGAGTTTAGGAGTTTAGGGTTTAGGGTTTTGGGGTTTCTATGTTTGTTGATGCAACATGCAGCTTCCAGCATGAACACAAACAAGCGTGAGCAGCTGTCCTGAAACATCCCATGCTGCATGCTCGCTCCTGAAGAACCTCAGAAACTCGTCTCAGGAGGCTTCCATTGTGCACTTCGGCCTATGGCATGGCTGAGGCAGGGAGGGGGCGGTGAGCTTCGGGGTTAAAGCTTCAGGAGTTGAGGGTTCTGGGCTTCTAAAGTAGCTCTGAAGCACTGGCAGTGGAAGTCAGGCGTGCCCAAGCTTTGTCGACACTGCATTGTTTTTTGAAGCGTCCTGGATGGCTCGGATATCGGGCCCAGGGTCTTCCCCTCCCGGGCCACGAGACCCACAGCTTCACATTGAAAGACAGATGGCATTGTGTGCAACCATGACTTGTTTCTAATGTTGACTGAACGATTACAAACAGTAGGAAAGCATTAAAGGAACCGCTTTGGATTTTGGGGTTTTCGGATTTGGGGTTTAAAAGCTAGGGTTGTAAGGGTTTTGGTGTTTTAGGATAGCCCCGAACATGTTGTCAATCTTAAAGTATTTAAAGGAACCCCAGAAGATCTCCGGTGTTACAGCTGTGCTAAAGTAGCATCTAGATCACGGCTGCACATGACCGCGTATCAGCACCGAATCGACGGCTCTGCATGCGGATCCTACTCAATGTCCATGGAGAAAACTTGCACACTGACGAAGTCGCGAGTCACTGGGAGCCATCGGCTCGGGCCCTCTTCTTCCCACCTGACCTCCTGNNTGGAGTCGGCGTCCACGGAACCGGCCTTGAACATGTTATCCATCTTGCAGGCGAGGTCGAGCATCCTTAGGTGAAAGAGCGAAGACTGATACAAGGGCCACAAACAAACAAACGACAAAGAGAACAACAAATGAAAATGGCCAAGTAGCTGCTGGGCCGTACCTTTGCACCGATCGGCGAACAAGCAGAGCATCGAAACATAGTTGTCCTTGTACTCCTTCTTCAATGCCTTCGTGCTGCTGGCACCTGCTCCAGAGAACACACAAAGCTTGAGCTCGTTCACAAACTCGGCGATGTCCTCGCCTCCTGTGGGGCTGAGCTGCAGCTTCATCGCCGTCTGCAGGCTTTCGAACTCCCCCAGCAGCGGCACGGCCCATGGCTCCTGCTTCAAAGCCTCTTGCAGTCGCTCTGTCGTCTGCTGTGCCCGTTGGATCTGCAACACGATGGACCTGGCGGTGGTCTCTGCCTCCTTGAGAATGCCCTCCGGCTTCGCCTTGGCTTTCGGCTTCTTCGTCTTCTTGTTGTCCTGCTCGGGCTTCTCGGTCTCGATCTTCGTCTTCTTGGAGTCCTGCTGGTTGCCGGTGTCCTTCTCAGCCTCGTCGTTCCCTTTCTCCTTTCGCTTGCTCGATTTGCGGGAGGCGGCAGCGGTCTTGGTCTTCGCCTCCGTGTCGTCGTCGACCACTTCGATCCCCGGCACGGTGATGATCATCTCGGCGTAGCCCTGCAGGCCGAGGTCGGACTCCTCGACCTGCTTCAAAGTCACCTTGTCAAACGGGAGACCCTTGGCGGCAGCAAACTTGCGGCGGGCTTTCAGTTGATAGGCTTCGGTCTCGTAGGTGGGGCTGCAGTCGCACTGCGAGGCGATCTCCTTCCACTCTTCCTCCTGAGTGCTGCTGCTCAACTTCTCCACCAGGAGAAAATTCCAAGCCTTCGTCCACACATTCCACTCGGTGAACACCTCCTGATCACAGGGGCGACAAAGATGAAACACAGGATACCATGAAAGCAGCAAACCACACAAGTCACACAACCAGACAGAGATTCCTTTTGTGACCAAGGCACCCCAAACTGACGACACATCGCCACATAGTTGTCCGCTTGCCGAATCGCCTCCGGCTCCGAAGAGCCGCCAAAGAACACACACAATTGTAGGTGTGATTTCCATGACCCCAATTCCTTCTGGCGGGTGATGTTCCTGAGCTGAGTTTAGGGTTTAGGGTTTAGGGTTTAGGGTTTAGGGTTTAGGGTTTAGAAAGATAGTTAGAAGTTCAAGAGAAGCCCCAAAACTTTATGAATAAAAGATAACCTCAAATAAGTTCATTCTGGAACAAGATAGCCAAGACTCCTCACCGTTCGGACTCGTTGTTTGATGACTTTTTCAAAGCTTCGCTCGATGGCCCATGTGGTCCTGAATTTTTTTTTTAAGTCCTCTGTAAGCCACTTGTAGATGTCATGCTTCACGTCCGGGGACTTGTCCAGAGCTCGATTCAGAGCTTGTCCTGCGGCACCTCGTGCCGAAGTGTCTAAGCCCTTGCAAGCGTAGTGGTCGAGGCCTTCCGGAGAGCTTTTCACCATTTGTGCCGTGACCTCCTGGATGTCCATGTTCTGTTCGGCCGCATACATCTTCAAAGCCCTTGCGAGGCTCGGCGTGAGGTCCTCCTTCGGCTTTGCAGGGATCCGGATGCCGCCCGCCTCGTCTG